GCGAGAACAGTACATCTTGGCGAGTGCTTTCTTGATGTCTGGGTTGTGAAAGCAGCAAATGATCACTTCGATGCATAGGCCGTACGAACTGACTATCCAGCAGTAGTCACACAGCCTCGTCAACAGCACTGAATGATGGTTGAAGCAAAAGAATGTGAACGGGATGGCGAGGAAGATGAACTCGGTGATGATCAGGAAACCTACTCGCTTAGTGATCGTCGCCTGGCGCTTCAGACGCGCTGCCCTCCATTCGCCGCTGACGTGCCTGTGGCATGTGGTCAGTGTCAGCGCGATCAAGTAGATGATGCTGCTTGAGTAGCTGGCAGCCAACAGGACGCCGATGTGGACGTCGAAAAGTAGCGGTCCGAGCACGGCCTCATGATCGCAGTTCGCGGATATCGCCTTGTCGTGGCGGCCGGCGAAGTAGACAATGAAAAAGCTGACTATGTAGTCGACAGTGGAACACAACGAAGTAGCGATCACGCTTTTGATGATGGTCTTCTTACACAGTTTACTGTAGAATTTGGTGGACAGGATAGCCACTAGACGATCCACCGAAATGAGCACGATCAGTGTGAGCGTGAATTTTTCGCCTATGTGAAACATGGTTATGTGTACGCTCTGGACGATGCACTCCGATCTCTTCATCAGCCAGTGTCCGCTGAAATACACGTAGTACCATCTTCCCGCCGCGCAGATGTAGCCGATGCTCATGACAACATTGCCGACCGAGAAGCCTGAAACACAGAGCCGCTATTCACAACAATAAACGTCGCATGTTTTTAGTCAGTAACTCGGCCTTATTCTTAATTGAACGCCTTTGATCTCAAAACATCTTAAAGTTTATTAGCTGTTACTTTCTGCATGCGATTATCACCTAAACGGATTCTTTTCTAGTTCTGAATAGAGACCGAAAAGAAATGTTTTTTTTCATTACTGATTAGACCTATATAGCAAGGGCTATTATCATTCAGTGTCCATTCACGATGAAGCATGAATATATGAACTATAGTCTCAATTGTATGGATTGAACTAATTTGACCAACGATCTAGCTTTAATTTAAAACTATGAAAAATTTTGTCATGGTTGCACAGGCAACCATTGCTAGGCAGCATGTTTTACTTTCGATCTTGGAATTCTGAAACTTTTCAGTTTGTGGTTAAAAACTCGATTATCAGGTAGTGCACTTATCCTTTTTCGAATTATAAAACGAATTGAAAGATGGGGTTGACATTTTTGTTGGTAATTTTTATTCATCTACCATGGGGGTCAAGGCGAACTGCAGCTTACAAATCTAATTATTAAAAATTATGCTCCATTTGAGACAGCTAACTAGATTGCCGCTTAATTTGCTGACAAATCGAGTTGAAT